TTGTTGTTATGTGCCGTCGAGTCGGCCCCGACTCATAGCGACCCCTCCTTGGGTTTCCGAGGCAGTATCACTACGGAAGTAGGATTGCCCAACCGGCATGTGTATAGTGATCCCGATTAGGAATGGAATCCTGATTCAGGAGAAGCCAGCTTTTCCAAGGTCTCCCTTACTCCGGGGCCCAGAAGCGTCTCATTATGAGGGGCGACTAAGGGCACAGACGGGACGGCCCCCAACGAGCCAGTGTAAAATCTGTTAACCAGTTACCCTAAAGTGGATTGTGACTACTGGCAACCCCGTATAAAAGGAACATAATGATTTTCCTACCGTTTATTTATTCTTATCAGTTATTTGAGAACCTCTGCAGGCGCAATGGTTAAGGCATTCGGTTGCTAACTAAAAGGCTGGCAGTTCAAACTCACCAGCCCATAGAGACACCACCTGGGAAACCCAAGGAAGGAGGTGGTTGATGGTAGGAGAGGGGTCGGCAAGGGAAAGAAGTTGTTGTTGTTAATGTGCCATGCAGTGGGACCCGACTCAGCGATCCCTCCTTGGGTTTCCAAAGCGGTATCACTACGGAAGTAGATTGCCCAACCTTCCTCCTGAGGAGTGGCTGGTGGGTTTGAACGCTAGCCTTCTGATTAGCAGTCAAGTGCCTTAGGCACTAGGCTACCAGAGTTCCTTAGGGAAAGAAGAGAGTAAGCATATAAACAGTTCTTTATGAATGCTGTATATGGAAAGAGTGCTTGGAGCAAACTACAGTTCAGGAGAGAATTTCCGGTTTAGGTGGTGTATTAATTTCTTACTGTTATAAAAATTTCCCACAAAATTAGTGGCTTAAAATAATGCGAATTTATGATTTTACAATCCTGCTCGTCAGAAGGTCAGAATGAGTCTACTTAGATTAAAACTGAAAGGAGTACTGGTGATGCAATGGTTAAGTGAGCTCAACTACAAACTATTGGTGCCCACCAGCCACTCTGCTCCAAGCTTTGTAAGAGAAAACTATAGCAGTCTGCTTCTGTAAAGATAAAACCAAACCCACAGCTATCTACTAGATTCCAACTCATAGCGACCCAAATTGGGTGTTCTGGTTACCCATTGCTGGTCTGACAAGAAATATACCACAAACGGGATGGCCTTAGTGAACAGGAGTTTATTCTTACAATTTGGAGGCTTTAAGTCCAAGTTCAAGTGCCAGGCTCTAGGGGCTGGGTGAAAGCCCCTCAACGTTGGGGTCCAGCTCTTCCTCCTGTTCCCAGCCCACTGGAGCTAGAGGCATTTCTTCACTCAGACAGCTGCTGGCTGCTGAGGCTGAGAAGCCCCAAGTTCGAAAAGTAAAAAGGCACAGTCCCAATATTACCAAACCACACAGCAGGCCATTAACTTAAGTACATTGTAATTCCCAAGGTTGGCAGAGCATAGCAGGCTGCTGGGCAACGACACGGCTACACGCAGGGTCCAAGCGTGCCACAGGCTAGAGACCATTCTTAAAGCTTCTCTCCTTATAAACAGAAAGCAGACTACATACCCAAAGGCAACTACTCAGCTGCTCATAGTTGATTCCACCATGGAGTTGATTACCAGTCTCATCATGGGGAATACTACATCCAGCTGCCCAGCCACTCAACCAGGCCTAGCCAAGTTGACACCCAAACATAACCACCACATTGGCTTTCATAATCGTTTGCTTTCTTCATGGATGTTCTTGATGTCATCCCACAACTTGTCTGGTTTTCAGTCACTGGTGTTAAATGCATCAAATCTATTCTTCAGATGGTCTCTAAATTCAGGTAGGATATAATCAAGGTCATATTTTGCCTTGTGGACTTGTTTTAATTGTCTTCAGCTTCAACTTGAACTTGCATATGAGCAATTGATGGTCTGTTCCACAGTCAGCTCCTGGCCTTATTTTGACTGAAGATACTGAGCTTTTCCATCACCTCTTTTCACAGATGTATTCAATCTGGCAAGGTATATATGTTGTATAGCTGCCACTTATGTTGCAAAAAGGTACTTGCAGTGACTAAGTTGTTGGTCATGCAAAATTCTATCATGAGATCTCTGGTGTCATTTCCATCATCAAGGCCATATTTTCCCATTACTGATGATTTGTCTTTGTTTCCAACTTTTGCATTCCAGTCACTAGTGATAATCAATACATCCTGATTGCATGTTTTGTCAGTCTTAGATTGCAGAACTTGGTAAAAATGATCAGTTTCTTCATCTATGTAGTTGGTGCCTAAATTTGAACAATAGTAGTATTAACTGGTCTTCCTTATAGGCATATGGATGTCATCCTATCACTGACAGCATTGTACTTCAGGATAGCTCTTGAAGCATTCTTTGTGACGATGAATGCCATCCCATTCCTCTTCAAGTTGTCATTCCTGGCAGAGTAGATCATATGATTGCCTGATTAAAAATGGCCAGTACCTGTCTGTCCATTTCAGCTCACTGATGCCTAGGATATCAATCTTTATGCATTCCATTTCATTTTTGACCCCAATTATCCTACATTCATACTTTGTACATTCTACATTCTGATGATTAATAGATGTTTGCAGCTGTTTCCTCCCATTGCTAGTCATGCCCCATTAGCAGATGAAGGTCCCCAAAGTTTTACTCCAGTCACATCATTAAGGTCAACTCTACTTTGAGAAGGCCACTCTTCCCCAGTCATAATTTGAATGTCTTCCAATCTGAGGGGCTCATCTTCCCGCACTATATCAGGCAGTGTTTCACTGTTATCATAAGGTTTTCAATGGCCAATTTTTCAGAAGTGGATGGCTTCATCCTCCTTCCCAGTCTATCTTAGTCTGGAAGCTCTGATGAAACCTGTCCACCACTGGTGACCCTGCTGGTATTTGAAATACTGGTGGCATAGCCTCCAGGCTCACGGCAACACACAAGCCACCGCAGATGACAAACTGACAGATGAGTGGTGGAGAGACACGTTAAAGAAAGTGAAATGTATTTCCTCTTCTCCCTGACATGAGTTAGTTCTTTCTGGTGCACTTGAAACTACATCATTTTTGCACTTGGCACATAAGCCTTTGGCTCCCCACAGACACATAAAGCCAGTTTAGAATGTCCATGTTACAATTCAATTGCCAGGTTTAAGTCAGAATTGGACCAACTTCCAAAAGAGATCATTGAGGGCTATCAGCCTAGGCATTCACTCTGTACATTTTATGTTTTTGCAGAGACTAATAGAAAGAGAGGGAGCTCTGGTAGCATAGTGCCTAAGGCACCTGACTGCTAACCAGAAGGCTGGCTCTTCAAACCTCCCAGCCACTCCTTGGAAGGAAGGCTGGGCAATCTACTTCTGTAGTGATACCACCTCGGAAACCCAAGGAGAGGTTGCTATGAATCGGATCCAACTCAACAGCAGTGTGTTTGGTTTTGGTTTTAGATGATGCTGGATGCTGTACCACTGTATTTCACATACCAGCAGGGTCAGCCATGATGGACAGGTTTCAACAGAGCTTCCCGACTAAGACTATGAAGAAGAACCAGGTGATTCACTTCTGAAAAGTAGTTGCTGAAAACCTAATGGATTACAACAGGTTATTGTCCTATGTAATGCTGAAAATGATCTCTAAGTTGGAAGGCTCTCAAAGTACACGGTGGCTGCAGCAATGGACTCGAGCACACCTACAATCATTGAGGTGGTGTGACATTGAGCCATGTTCTATTCTGTCATGTATGGGATTGCCCTGGAGCCGGTTCAAAGGCAAGGAGCAACGATTCTCTTTAAAACATCATGTCATTTAAATTCCTTAGTAACAAATTTAAAATTTTTGCTTCTGTGTCATAGGTTTTGATTTGAGAACTATGTTTTCAAATATGCATCTTCTGGCTATATTTTATAAAAAAGAGAACATTTTGGCCTCACCCATTCTTCCTCCAAGTCACTTTTATTTGCGTTATAAATGTATGTTATGCAAATTTCCTGTAATAGGGAATGGAAGACCAGTTGTGATTTTTGGCCAACAATCCTTCTGTAGGTTTAAATTTCACAGCTAAATTGTCCAATTAAAATAAACACTTTTCTTTCCATCACACTTCAAAATCTCCTGGGGCAAGTTATGGTAGAAGAGGGGTACTTTTAGGGGGAAACTGTGGGGAGGAGATGGATTTTGTGATGCCTTACTAATGAACTTGAACAAAAAGGATATTGATATTGATATTGCCAATGTGGGCATGAGAAGGGATGCAACTTTTGAAAACCATACTGTAGACACATATATTGTAATTCTTACCAAAAATTAATGTTTAATATCATATTAGATTTTTTTCTTCCTTTTCCGACCTTAGGGACATCAGAAATAGATTGGTTCCTAATACATTCTCAGCTTTGGTCCATGCATGGTGTGGTTTTATTAACATATGTGTGTATTTATCTATGATAATATTGTTAGGTGCGGTTGAGTCAGTTCTGACTCATAATGACCCCATGTACAACAGAACGAAATGTGACCTGGGCCTGAGCCGTCCTCAAAATAGTAGGTATGTCTGAGCCATTGTCCAGTCTGAGGGGCTTTTCCTTTTAGCCCTGTAGCACACATTGCTCTGCTGCTGTCCATAGGATTTTTATAGCTGCTTTTTTTTTTTTCTTCTTGGAAGTAGATCACCAGATACTTCTTCCTAGTCTGTCTTGGTTTGTAAGCTCCACTGAAGCCTATTCACCATGGTTGACCCTGCTAGTACCTGAAATATCTATAGCATACTTTCCAGCCTCATAGCAACATGAAAGCCAGCACAGTATGACAAACTGACAGATGAATGGTGGAAACCCATTGCCCTACCATTGATTTTGACACATACCCATTGCTGTCCATTCAGTCAATTTTGATTCATAGTGACTCTATAAAACAGTGAGCACCCATAATCCCATCACCTGACAGATAGCCTACATCTAATTCTATAGTTTCTTCTCCATCCTTCCTCCTTTTTCACCCTCACCTGAGAGACTATCATTCTGAACTTCGTATTCATCATTTCCTTGCTTTTCATTTAATATAATTATAACGACTTCTTGTATATTCCTAAAACATGCGTGCTTGCATTTAAGCTGTTTTCAACTTTTGAAAATGGTGTCAGTCTGCAGATAATCTTTTGAGACTTAAAGTTTTCCCTTAACATTGTTATGGTTTCTTTATATTGCTGTGGGTCACTGAACTATTCTTTTTGAATGTTGTATTGTATTATTATGAGAATATACTACTCATTATCTTGAATTTACTGGAATTTACTCATTATCTTGTTGATAGTGATTCAGTTGTTTTCAAGTTATTGTAAACTGAGTGGTGTGTAGCTGTTTCTTTAAATCAAAATGAAAAAGTCTGCTTATTGAAATAAAAGATGTAAAATGTTAAAGCCATCGAGTCGGCCCCGACTCATAGTGACCCCTCCTTGGGTTTCCGAGGCAGTATCACTACGGAAGTAGGATTGCCCAACCTTCCTTCCGGGGAGTGGCTGGTGGGTTTGAACCACCAGCCTTCTGGTTAGCAGTCAAGTGCCTTAGGCACTATGCTACCAGAGCTCCCAACATTTAAACTGGAAACTGTAAATCTCTCTGTATCAGATCCCCAGAGACAACCAATATTATGGTTTGAGATATCTTTTTCCTGACTTTCTTTTTTTAAATATAATATATAACTAAATACACTTATCCTTAATATAAAAACAAAACCAAATTCACTGCTGTCAAGTTGGTTCCAACTCACAGCAACCCCTCCTTGGGTTTCTGAGGCAGTATCTCTAGGGGAGTAGATTGCCCAATCTTCCTTCTGAGGAGTGGCTGGTGGGTTTGAAGTGTACATATTACTATTTTAAACAAAAATGAAGTCCATAACTTTTTTTTCCATAACAATATCTCATGGATAGTGTTGTCATTACATATAAATTTAATTTTTTTTTAGTAGCTCTTCACTATTGTATTTTATAATTTATTCCACAAATTGCCAACTGATGGGACATTTTCGTTATTTTCAGTTTTCTGTTACACACAATCTTGCAATACAGATTCTTACACATACAACTTTGGACATTAATCTGATCATTTCCTTAAGATAATTTCCAAAGAACAGAATTGCTGGATTGAAGGGCATGGATTTTTATTTTTATCTATCAGTTTATTTGTTTGTTCTTGTTGGATATAGCCAGATTGCCCCCCAAAAAGATAAATTACATTTTTATCACAGTATAGAGTCCAGAGCAGGAAGCACCTAGTTCAACCTGAGGTTCAAGAGGGACTTCCTGTAGGAGGTGATCCTGGAACTGAGTCAAGATGAAACACAGTCAACAAAGGAACAAATAATCTGCCGGGAGCCAGGACCAGAGAGAACTCGGGGGTGATTGCTCCACTGGGTTTATTTGTATCCGCCCTCTCCAACACTGGGCGTCCTTGCTATTTAAAATCTTTGCGAAAAGAATTACTTCTTTTTTTTAAAAAAAAAACTTTATCTATCAGAACGTCTTTCTAACCCACTTCCTGGTCTACAGAAAACTGGAACAATGGCTACCGACACTGTTCCCTCGGAGATCATAGAAAGAGAACGAAAAAAGTTGCTTGAAATCCTCCAGCAAGATCCTGATTCTATCTTAGACACGTTAACCTCTCGGAAGCTGATTTCTGAGGAGGAGTATGAGAGTCTGGAGAATATTACTGATCCCCTGAAGAAAAGTCGAAAGCTGCTAATTTTGGTGCAGAAAAAGGGAGAAGTGAGCTGTCTGCATTTTCTCAAGTATTTAGTTAGTACTTTCCCGGAGTCAGCTGCCATTTGGAACTTAAATTTAAGGCTTGGTAAGTTGAATTTTTGCACTCTTTGGGGGCGCGGGGGTGGGGTGGGGCAGATGAGGGGACAGATTTTCTGAAAAAGGAAATGATCACTTCTTAGGGTCATATTTCTTGCTATTCTTCTCCTTTGAAGATAAAGTAGTTTCCCTGTCACTAATGGTCTTCAATGAAATAAGATATCAGGAAAAAGTGTCCAAATTTTAAAAAGCAGGAAACAACATTGATTTAGGGAATTGATAGCTTGTTCGTACTATAAAACTCGCACTTGTTTTAGTGCAATTACAAACTGATCATTGTTGGAGCAGCTACATCTTGAACTACTCACGGTTAGAAAGAGAATGCTGTTAATGACCACACAGTCTGTAGTTTCTTTATCTAGTTAGTGAACTCACAGACATTAACAGCCCCAAAACCACACAACGCGTTGTGAAAACAGCCATTTTGAAAATAGGGGAAAAATAATTTTTAGCATACTTAGATGCTGAATCAGTAACTTCATTTTCTTTGTGAAAAGAATGCCAGCAGAACCCAGTATTCTGCAATTCGGATGCTAATTATTGAATGTTCAAAGACAGGGGCCGAGGGGATAAGGGAATGTTGTTATGTGCCCTCGCTCGAGTTGGACCTAACTCATAGCGACCCCTCCTTGGGTTTCTGAGGCGGTATCATAAGGAAGTACATTGCCTAACCTTCCTTCCCAGCAGTGGCTGGTGGGGGGTAAGGGAATAGTTTTCCCAAAGTCAGTTGTTCAGCACAGCTGTGGATAGCAGCTATGGTGGCGTAGTTGTTAAAGCATTTAGCTGCTAACCAAAACGTCTGCGGTACCAACCCATCCTGGGGGAAGATGGAGCAGCCTGCTTCTGCAAAAATGTATGGCCTTGGAAATTCTATGGGGCTTTTCCACTGCGCTGTAGGGCGTTTTGAGTCAGAGTGGGCTTGATGGCGGTTGGTTGGTTGGTTCTGTAGATGATTATCACTAGAGGTTGATACAGCTCCTTTTCTAGGAATCTTAACAATATTCAGGATCGTTGTTGTTGTTATGTGCCATCCAGTCGGACCAGACTCACAGCGACCCCACCTTGGGTTTCTGAGGTAGTATCACTACGGAAGTAGATTGCCCCATCTTCCCTCCAGGAGTGGCTGGTGGGTTTGAACCGCCAGCCTTCTGGTTAGCAGTCAAGTGCCTTAGGCACTACAGTACCAGAGCTCCCAATATTCAGGATTATCTTCAGAGAATACATTAGAGGGGTATAGACCTGATAAAATGGTGAATGTTGATGGACCTTAATGTAGGACATGACTTACTTGCTTAGAAAATAGATTTTATTATTTCTAGGGCCTGCTATTCCAACTTAGAGCTACTTACTTCCTGATTAGAAATTCAGCTCAGAGTCCATTAGCAGTGGCTGCAGAAACATTGAATTGGGTGTAGATCACAGTAAATCTGTGTGCAAGCACTGTTCACAGAGTTAAAGTTTTCTGGTTTACTTATTTGAAGTTGCTATGGAAGGTCACTCCTCGGAAGGAAGGTTGGGCAATCTACTTCCGTGGTGATACTGCCTCGGAAACCCATGGAGGGGTCATTATGAGTTGGGTCCGACTCCAAGGCACATGACAACATGGAAGACCCAGGGAAGCTCTGGTAGTGTAGTGCCTAAGGCACCTGATTGCTAACCAGAAAGCTGGCGGTTCAAACACACCTACCACTCCTCAGAAGGAAGGTTGGGCAGTCTACTTCCATAGTGATACCATCTCAGAAACCCAAGGAGGGGTTGCTATGAGTTGGATGCAGTTCGATAGCAGTGAGTTTGGCTTTTGGTGTGAAAGACCCAAACTAGGGAGCAAGGCAGGGTGATATTTGACTTTTTCTCAGTGGGAGAAAGAAAATTCTTATAGCTGATTTGGTGCCATGCAAGTTGTGAAGGAGGTGGTGGGTAGTCCTATCCTTAGAGAAATGAAGAGGAGGGATGATTCTTTGAGGCTCAGAAAGACAAGTTATTAAATTTCTGTTATTAATTTGGAAACACAAAACAAACAAAAACCTTTTTGTCCTTTTCAGAATTTTTAAAACAGGAGACTGTAGAACCTTGTCAACCTGTGAGGATAAACAAGAATTCAGATGATGCTTTTTTCTCTGGGAAGAAACTACCTGAGAATCCTCAGGTTACAGTGCCCTTCAAAGAGAAAGGACTATTGGATATGGAAATCTCTGAGTCTTTCAAGGATAAGAAAATTAGTGACAGGGAAACTGCTTTCTCTTCAAAGGAGAAGAATGAGAAGGAATATGACACATCAAAAGACTCAATCTCACATGCAGTTGAGGATGTTGAATATGAAGTTCCATCAGCTATTGCATATTTAAGGGATGAACAGAGGTACGAGGAAACAGATGATTCTTTATACTTGGGAAAAGAAGAGTATCTAGAATCTGTTGGATACCCTGAAGATGCAGAAGCCACTGCAGAAGAGAAGGACAGTCATGGTGCAGAGCATGTGGTATATGATGGCAAAGAGGACTCTGAGTATTCTGAAACTACAGGATTCTCTGATGAGGAGCAGCTTTACGAGGAGTCAGAAACCGGCATGTTACTGGAGGAGAAAAGTATGGAAGGTATGGGAATGTCGGCATTTGAGGTGTATAGTTTAGTTAAGCAGCAGCTTATTTTTAGGTTGCTTAGACATAATGGGGAGAAGGGATGAGGGAGAGCACCAGATGCCAGCAGAAAAGCAGTGACTCAGAAATACCTTGTGTCTCTTGAACCTGGCATCTGCTCAGAGGGGGGTGTTGATAGTGGGGAGCACCCAGGATCTATGACATGGTGGACAGTACAAGCTGATGTAAATATTTATTGTCAGCTTATAGACTTCTACAGTCATCTTCCATCATGCATATCATTTTTGGGTTACCTCTGTTTCTCAGATTAAAGTATTTTATTCATTTTAGCACTTTTGTGACCCATAGAATATGGGAAAATTGGGCCTTACTCTTGAAGTAGAGAAAATCAGGAGAGGAATTTGTAGTGAATAGGTAAGATCCCCAGATATTGTTATTAGGGCTGATCCTGTCCATATATTGCCATGATAAGGAAAATTATATCAGTCTCTTGAATTTGAATATTTTAAAATAACTTTTAATAAATAACTTTATTGAGGAATAGTTTACATGTAATAACATGCACTCATTTTAAGTGGATATTTTTATAAGTTTTTATACATTTATATAAGACTACCATGATTAAAATACAGAATAGTTCCATCTCCCCAAAAAGTTCCCTCTGTTCCATTCCAGACTACCTTTCTCCCCTCCCTGGGTTACAAGCAAACACTAGACTGCTTTGTACAAGTCTCTGTGAACATGTAATCTCAATTCTTATGGATAAATATCTAGAATTGGAATTGCTAGGTCATATGGAAAAAATATATTTTAAATATGATTTATTTTTGTTGAGGTTGAGAATATATATGGCAGAATGTACACCACTAATTTCTACATGTACATTTCAGCAACATTGATTATATTCTTCGAGTTGTGCGACCATTCTCCCCTCCTTTTCTGAGTTGTTCCTCCCCCATTAACGTAAACTCGCTGGCTCTGACGTTCCAATCTAATCTTTCAAGGTGCTGTTGTCAATTTGATCCCATATAGAGAGTTCCTACAAAAGCATAATACTCAAGGCATACTTTATTTTTACTAGTTAAGCTAAAGTATTTGTTGGTTTTGAGAAGACTTCAGGGGATATTTTTAGTTTAAGGTTTAAAGATTATTTCAGGGCAATATCTTCAGGGGTTCATCCAGCCTCCATGGCTTCAGAAATTCTGGGGTCCATGAGAATTTGAAATTGTGTTCTGTATCTTTCCCCTTTTGATCAGTATTCTTATATTGAATCTTTGCTCAAAATGTTTAGTAAGGGTAGCTGGGCACCATCCACTTCTGGTCTCATGGCAAAGTAGGCAGTTGTTCATGGAGGCAACTAGCTACACATTCCCTTTTCTCCTCTTGTTCCTCGCTCCCATTCTTCGTCTGTTGCTCCAGGCAATGGAAACCAATTGTTGTGCCTAGGATTGTTGCTTCAGGCTTTTAAGACCTCAGGCACTACATAATGAACTAGGAGGTAGAACAGAAGCACTGAAATGTTCTTAGGCCAATTAACTGGTAGGTCCCATGAGACCATGGCCCTGAACCACCAAACCAAAGAACTAAAACCCAGGAGATATTTGGTTGTACATAAGCAGCATCAGTAGCTACTTTTTTTTTTTTTTTTTCCCGGTCTTTGTTGTAAATTTATCTGTCACATAACTTTTGCCATTGAATTTGAGTATTTCTAATACAAATTCAAAGTATTAGAAGTACTTCATTTGAAAGGATATTGTCTTGGGAAGTTTCTCAGTAGAGAATGGGAAGGCAGCAACAAGCTCTTAGCTCTTAGTAGCAGTAGCAGCAGGCAGCTCACTGCTGTCGAGTCGATCCCGACTCATAGTGACCCCTCCTTGGGTTTCTGAGGTGGTACCACTACAAAAGTAGATTGCCTAACCTGGCTTCTGAGGAGTGGCTGGTGGGTTTGAACCGCCAGCCTTCTGGTTAGCAGTCAGATACCTTAGGCACTACATAGAGAATAGGAAATAGAGAATGGGAAAGTAGTTACCAGCTCATAATTGGTCCTGGGGGCTCATAATCCAGTTCTCCCTAGCTTGGAAAAGAGTGATTTCCTCCTCTTGCCCCATTCCCATACACCTTCCCAACACATGGTTTCTTTTAGGTCACATTGATTTTTATTTATTTGTTTTAGTTATTGCATAAACCAAGACCAAACCATACCATTGAGTTGAACTGTATTCCATGGGGTTTTCAGTGGCTGATTTTTCTAAAGTAGATCTCTAGACCTTTCTTCTTAGGCATCTCTGAGTGGACTCAAACTGCCAACCTTTCAGTTAGCAGCCAGCTGATTAACTGTTTACACCACTTA